GGTTTTCAGTTTAGTGAATGAATCTTCAGTAACTTTGACTCTCTGCAAAGGATTAATGGTCGAATGAAAAGGAGCTTGAAAAGGACTGCTGAAGAGCGGTTGGAAAAATGGCCTATCTTTTGAGGCTTTCCTTCTGACCTAGCAGTGTGGCCTTCTTGAAATCGTATATTAGTATGAATTGAGTACCCTGCTTACAAGAATATATTCTACCCATCGAAATAAGGTTCACAATCCACTCTGTCTGATTGCGCCATTCACCTGACTAATTTCCCTTTCAGCCAAAGCTCCCATTAATGGATAGCTTGATTAACACGCGAACAATTCATCATTTGCTGCCATAATCGATGCAGCAAGTGTTGTAAGTTCTTCCATATATGATTTCTCTGCACTTTAAGGGTTAGGATGTTGCCCGTTAACTCGAACTGGTTAGGTTTATTTCTTCTAACCTATACCGTTTTTTGCAGTAAAAATGGCACAGGTTTTGAAGTCTGTTAAACATCAAGGCCCATGCGGACACGTCACAAGAAAATTTCTTTGAGAATAAAGGTTTGAGTCCCCGTAAACAGCTAAATGCTTTTACACAGCCGCTTCTTATGGTAGGCGTTACACCTGTTCGATATACAGTCAGATAAATGCTTGCATGAGCTGAGCCAATTCGCCTACTTGTTGAGGCACTACAAATGATTTCTGTCCATGTAATACTCTGAAATCGTCATGGACATGTCAAAGGATTGCAATCTTCTAAACTGCTTAGCTGAAGATAAAATCCACCATGCAGAAACAGTTACATTCTTTAACAGTTAATTCACTCTGTTTTTCGATGTATTAAGCTGAGAAATATTTAACAAGTCGATATATCCTTTCGTGAAAACGTTAGGATTTTTTATCGTGGCGTGGCCCAGCGCTTGCAAAAAGCACAGTTGATGCGTTCGACGGATGTCTATGCATTCTTTAGCTGGCGCAGAGTAGGCACATGATGGGAAACATGAAGTCAAACTATTTTCAACCAGCTGAACGGCGTGCTGTGGTGGTAAGCAAATTACGTCTCCGGGTAATGGTCAATGAAGAATATGTACAGATCATCGTCGAATTGCATGGGTGAGAACTATGAGTTCTGCAGACACGTGTAAACCGCATCGTTGGACTTCTTTTTGTATGCTTTCCTTGCACGATAGGGTTGTGATTCTACTTCGTAACAATTTTCAGTTTCCGTGGTTGTACTACACGTATAGAATGTAGGAGCCGGTGATGCTTATTTACATGCTTGTCTCTCGTGTGAATTTGTCAAAGAGGAAAATCCCAATTCATTTCACTACAATGTGGCAAACCGAGCAGGCCTTACTGAAGAAATGTATTTCCCCATAAACCAATCATAACAGCACCAAGGGGAAACGCGCTCGTGGTGAATGCGGATTGACTCCAGCGTTCATGGAATGTATATAAACGACCCAGCCAGTCGTTGTGCACACTTTTGTGAAAATGACTTGGATCGTGTCAACTTTAGTCTTGTGAACTTCGTCGTGAAGTTTCTGTAAAATAATTCGTGACTGAGAATAAAGTTGTGCGATCGGACAGCGGTGCGTCTTATCCTTATACGTAGGCAAATCCTTAAGCAGCTGACAAGAAGGACCCTCACCACAGCAGACCCGATCGACGGGCGGTTACACTGCCATCCGATAAGTAAACCTGTGAGGAAGAGGTTCAAAACAACTCGAAACAAACGCAGAAATAAAATCTACTACTTTTAGAAGTACATATGGCAGAATATACAGCAATGAACAGTAAGGGTGGTTCAACATAGCTGGCTATCATGGCAGGTTAGTTTTGTTCTCCCAAAGCGAAACATGTACTTTAAAACTTTCAGACTAAATTTAAAAGTTAACCAACTTGTAAACTCCAGTTTAACCGTCCAGCCCTGATGATGTTGCAGCCTGTGCAGTGAAACGCGTTGGCATCAAACTGTCCATCTGATGTATTTGGTTTCCCTAACCATGAATCGTTCAAACAACTATGTCTAAACTAAATTTAATTTACGGAGTTTCT